TTACAGCCTACCCCGTTCAATTGACACCAAGTCATTCCATTTTAATCTTGTTAATTAAAGCCTAACTCGTTCAATTGATACCACTCTAGTTAAACACAATAATTGGGGCTAGGGATTAAAAGATGACTATTTTGTCCATTTGAAAAAAGGAAAATTACATGGTTAAACAAATATATACTAGTTAATCAATCATCACAGCTATAGTTTTAGTTAATTATCATTCACGATTAACATTCAGTGATAATTACTTGGACTTGAGTTTTGAGTTTATATAATTTGTACGTTTGTATAATTTGGAATTTGTATAACTTTTGTATAGTATAATTTTTTATAACTGTTTAAAGTTCAGATGTTTGTGTTTGTATAAATTCGTTATTTCGAGTTTATACAAAAATTACTCAATTATACAAACGTACCTGCGAATTATGCAAACTCATCCACAAATTATACAAACGAGATAACTTAAACTGTAATTACAACTCGTAAATATGCAAACGCTAACTATGAAATATAATTAAATTTATTATAGTGGCTATTTGCGAAATTCCCCTTTGAAAAAGTTATACATTTTGGGCCATTTTAGAAGATTAATTTTGGGCCCAAAAGTGTTTCTTCCCAACAATAAAACCTGAAGCCCTAGGTTTACATGTAAAAGCCATTGCCTTAGATTACCGCCTCTTTGCTCCTCCGCAGCAACAACTTTTGTGATCTCTTTCTCTCTACCGCATCAAAGTGTAAGTGTCTCTTTGCCTGCATTTCTTTACTTAGATACCATTGTCTGCATTTGTTTACCTAGACACCGTTGTTTCTTGTAGTCTCTGTTTTGATTTGTCAAGTAAAAATGTGATCTTTTTGACATTCTTAGAGGTTTTACTGAGATGTGATCGATTTTAATCTCTTTTTTTCCCGACCCATGATGGAGAAAGTAGTTTTTCATATTCTTTACTGTTTAGGGTTCTTGGTAGTTGTATTTATGGTAAATCTAGCAAGTGATGATTAGTCTTAAAGGGTGTGCGAACGGAAGTAGGAATTCTGGAGTGTAAAAAGGCAATAGAATGGGTTTTGACGTTTGAATCATATAGATTATTATGTTCTGGGAAGTGGGTTGATGTGTGTGAGCTTAAGCTCTTACAAAGAACACATTGTCTAATATTTAATTGTATTCTCAACATGCCCTCTCACGTGCGGGCCTTATTATTAACTTTTGATAATGGGTGGTGGTGAGGATTCATATCTTTATTGCTTGATAAAGGAAGCATTATTGATGGAGGTGTTTGTGTAGCTCTATATTGGTAATTATTGTCTTGTCTTCTGTTGAGTCTTCACTGTGGTTATATTGTTGTCATGATTTCTGAAGTTCGCTGGTGCTTGCTGGTCTGCTTCTAATTTATAGTCACTAATACCTGTGAATTTATGCTGTTAATAATCTAGTGTCTTTTTGAGGATGTTGACTATGTCTTGCTACCATTTGATTCTTTTTGTTTGGTTGTTTGGAGCTTTTCTTGTTGTCACTTTTTTTGATGGTGTATCTGAATATTGTATATATTGGATACAGTTTGATAAGAAAAGATGGTCAGAGTTAGTGTGTTGAATGATGCCCTCAAGAGCATGTACAATGCTGAGAAGAGGGGAAAGCGTCAGGTCATGATTAGACCTTCATCAAAAGTCATCATCAAGTTCCTCATTGTTATGCAGAAGCATGGTATGTTAGTTTCTTAACTGTATGCACTGCTTGCATCACCTTGTCATATTCTTACTTTTGGTATCCATGTGTAGGTTACATCGGTGAATTTGAGTACGTCGATGATCATAGGTCAGGAAAGATTGTTGTCGAACTGAATGGAAGGCTAAACAAGTGTGGTGTTATTAGTCCTCGTTTTGATGTTGGAGTTAAGGAGATTGAAGGATGGACTGCTAGATTGCTCCCTTCCCGACAGGTACAGTAATTAATATATACACTTTGTTCCCTTGATCAATAAATGGAACTCCATTTCTGGTCATCTTCAATTTGGGCCTGGCTTCTGGATTCTGAAATGATTGTCGGGGTGAATGTTAGTCATGGTCATTGCCTTGTGAAATGGACATTTTTAATGTTTGATTCAATACCTCTTTGATGAATCATGACTTACTAAATTATGGTTCTTCTTAAGCAGTAGCAAATCTTGAATAATTTGGGCAAGCACCTTTAGTGCTTGTAAGATCCATTTATTCTTTGTAGATGCTAGCTTTTAAGGCTCTCCTGTGAAGGAAAAACTCCTGTCTATTTTGAAGTGGAAATTTTATATCTTATGGTTTGTTTTGCTATTACTTTTGTTATTCGTCCATGAGAAAGTGTGTTTCTGTTAAGTTGTATCTGAACAGTCATATTGTGGGTTGAAGCTTTCATCTGTAGTTTATACATGATACTAAGCAAATGAAAATTGTAGGTTTTTTCTGCCGTTACAGATGGAGTTAAAGTCTCGGTTTATTTTGTGTTATTCTGTATATCATCTATTTTTATGTTTTGATCTTTACGTGTTGGTTTCAACGTGCAGTTTGGATACATTGTGCTGACGACCTCAGCTGGAATCATGGACCATGAAGAGGCTAGGAGAAAGAATGTTGGTGGAAAAGTTCTTGGTTTCTTTTATTGAGTCGTGTTGACAAGGATGAAAACTTTGGTTTTGCTGTTTGTTGGCTCGTTATAAACGCCCTTTTTCTGTTTTTCTCGTTTCCATCAAATTTAGTAGGGATTTTATTGAAAATTTGGAGACAGTTATCAAATTTTGTTGAGAAAGTTGCTGGTGTTTATTGCCTGTTGATCTTTATTGCGGTCTGTCTATTGACATCAAAAGTTTGTTGTAGATTTGCATGTTTGTGTTATTACTATTATGAAAAGAAAGGGACAGGTCTCTTTTCTTCCAAGTCTTGTACTTCTAGAGGGCAAGCATTAATGTTAAATTTCTAGTCAAGTGTTTTTGTGGTGTTTATTATCCCATATACCGGTTAGATTAAAGTAAACAATGAATTCGATTGACTATTTGTGTAAAGATCACAATTCACAACATAAAATTAGTCATACTGTTTGTGTATTCGTTAAGATGTTCAATTTAAGGTTTCCATTGAATTCTTTGTTATGTCACATGGTCTTATATAATTAATTTTGCTTCTTGAATTAAACTAATATGTAGCATAGGCTACTTATGTTAACAATAACTCTATCATTATGATTTATGACCTTTTGCTTCATATAATCTATGAGTAGTATTTTTTGTATAATATTTTGATTTGTCTTTTTATTTTGAAGTATTTTTTGGTTCTTATTTATTTCTCTTCGTTTCCCTACCAAGTGATAATGGTCTAACATAAGGTGATAAATATTTAAAACTAGTTATGTTTCATGTATCCACTATTAGGAGTATTAATTTTGTGTAGTTATTGCTTTCAATTAATTTTATCTAGTTAAGAATATGTAACTGACGTATTAATAAAAAATTACCAAACTTCTATGCAAAACAATAGTAAATTTGTCTAAATAAGAGAATTTCCAGTCTCAATAATTTTTTAAATTTGATTATGAATGCAACATAACATACAAAATTCCACTCTTCCTATTTATATGTCGTTTTTATTAAAAATATTATATTATCTTTATTAAAAATAAATGGTCTTTAATATTTGTCATTTCACAAAATCAATACATAAATGATACTATTCTTTCTATTTTACGCTTGCGAGTTATCAGCCTTGAAAACATATATTTGACCAACATAGAAAAACTGAATTAATAACTCATGTTCACTGGTCAAATTAATTAACCAAAATAAATTACTAATTCATTTTAATTGATTGAAAACTTAACTCCAAAAAAAATTACTTTTTGGAAAGCCACCAAGTAATTGGAATTGGTGTAATTACTAGGGTGGTAATTACCAGTCTAGTCATTACGCTAACCTGTTTGTTTGCCACAATATAATTACAACTTACAATTGTACCGTTTGGTTGCACAAGTGTAATCATAAGATTATATTGAATTTTAAAAATAAAAATAAATTATTTATAATTAAAAATTTATATTAGACAAATAAGGGCCTTTATAAATAATATTAAATTAAAATTTTAAGATATATATTGTCTCTTGAAAATATATTAATTAATAAACATATGTTTTTAATTAATATTATAAAAAAAAAATTGATTTATACATTTCAAATATTTTAATTAAATTAATCATAAAAATTAAAAAAACAAAATTTCTATGAATATTATGAAATGCATGTTTGACGAAAAGATTAATATTATAAATTATAAAACATTTGACAAAAAGATAATCTATCAATTCTAACTTTTAAAAAATAGTTTGTAATGTAAAATATCAAGTCAATAGCATGGAATCATATGAAGTAAAAGTTGAGAATAAGAAGGAACAAAATATAAATAAATCTTATTAAAATAATAAAAATAAAAAATACATTAAAACGAAAAAAGTTCAAACAAAAATAAAGGAAGAAATTAAAAAGTAATCAGCTTGTAATTACACCATGTAATTTAATTACAAGCAATTCACAGTCTTTCCTTGTGAATTAGAGAGTGTAATTACACCCTGCCAATTACACAAATTACTTGCTGACCAAGTAATTAGATGCCCAATCAAACAAGACAGATTACACCAATTACATCAAATTCAATTATAAGAGCGACTTTCCAAACATGTCCTAAATAAGGATAGAATCGTAAATATATTTAGTTTCTTAATGCACGTAAAACCTAAAATGGGGACATGTAAATAAGAACCGAGGGGGTATAAACATAACAAGAACTAAAAAAAATTTAAAACCTATTTTAAAACCATATTATAGAAAAATGTGACATAACATTATTTGGAAGCTCAATGGAGTTTCCATTCGGTCAAAAAATGATTTTGGGCCCAAGTGCTTCTTCCTAACAATAAAACCTAAAACCCTACGTTTATAAGTAAAAACCAGTGCTTCAGATTTTCGCCTCTTTGCTCCTCCGCAGCAACTAACTCTTGTGATCTCTTTCTCTACCGAATCAAAGCGTAAGTGTCTCTTTGCCTGCATTTCTTTACTTACATACCATTGTTTCTCGTAGTTTCTGTTTAGATTTGTCAAGTAAAAATGTTATCTTTTTCACATCCTTAGAAGCTTTGCTGTGATGTGATGACTTTTAATCTCTTTTTTTTCCCGACACATGATGGAAAAAGTAGTTTTTCTTACTATCTTATTGTTGATATTAGCTACGCTTCTTACCCTTTAACGTTTTAGGCTTCTTGGTAGTTGTATTTATTGTAAAATTTATGCTAGTGATGAATGGAGGTAGGAATTTGGAGAGTAAAAATGTTATCTTTTTTGACAATTTTTGAGGCTTTGCTGTGATGTGATGGCTTTTAACTTTTTTTTCCGACCCATGACAGAGAAAGTAGTTTTTCATACTATCTTATTGTTGATATATATTAGCTAGGGTTCTTACCCTTTAACGTTTTAGGGTTCTTGGTTGTTGTATTTATGGTAAAATTTATGCTAGTGATGATTAGTTTTAACAGGGGTGTGAATGGAAGTAGGAATTTGGAGTGTAAAAATGTGATCTTTTTTGACATTCGTAGAGGTTTTGCTGTGAAGTGATGGATTTTAATCTCTTTTTTTTCCGACCCATGATGGAGAGAGTACTTTTTCATACTTTCTTATTGTTGAAATTAGTGAAGGTTCTTACCCTTTTATGTTTTAGGGTTCTTAGTAGTTGTATTTATGGTAAATCTACGTGAGTGTTGATTAGTTTTAATGGGGGTTGTAATTGGAAGTAGGAATTTGGAAAGTAAAAGACGCAATAAAATGGGTTATGGTGCTTTAAGCAAATAGTTTATGATGTTCTGTGTAAGTGGGTTGATGTGTGTGATCTTGTTCTATTAGAGAGAACACACTTCTATTGTTGAATTGTATTCTCAATACTCCCTCTCACATATGGACCTTATTATGCTTTTTGATAAAGGGTGGTGGTGAGAATTTGTTTCTTGTTCTTTTATAAGGCGCTTATTGATGTAGGTCTGTATATTGGTAATTATTGTGTTGCTTTCTGTTGAGTCCTCACCGTGGCTATATTGTTGTCATGATTTCTAAAGTTTGCTGGTCTGTTTCTAATCTATAGTTACTAATACATGTGAATTTGTGCTGTCAACCTAGTGTCTTTTAGAGGACATTGACTATATCTTGCTACCATTTGATTCTTTTAGTTTGTTTTTTGGAGCTATTTTTGTGGTTACTTTTTTCGATGGTGCATCTGATTATTGCATATACTGGATACAGTTAGATAAGAAAAGATGGTCAGAGTTAGTGTGCTGAATGATGCTCTCAAGAGCATGTACAATGCTGAAAAGAGGGGAAAGCGTCAGGTCATGATTAGACCTTCATCAAAAGTCATCATCAAGTTCCTCATTGTTATGCAGAAGCATGGTATGTTTGTTTCTTAACTGTATTCACTGCTAGCATCACCCTATCATTTTCTTACTGTTGGTATCTATGTGTAGGTTACATCGGAGAATTTGAGTACGTCGACGATCATAGGTCCGGAAAGATTGTTGTTGAACTGAATGGAAGGCTAAACAAGTGTGGTGTCATTAGTCCTCGCTTTGATGTTGGAGTCAAGGAGATTGAAGGATGGACTGCTAGATTGCTTCCTTCCCGACAGGTATAGTGATTAATATTTTCACGTTGTTCCCTTGATCAATATATAGAACTTCATTTCTGGTTATCTCCAAATTGAGCCTTGCTTCTAGCTTCCGAAATGATTGTTGGGGTGAACAAGTCATGGTCATATTAGCTTGTGAAATAGACATAATTAATTTTTGATTCCTTACTTCTTTGTTGAAACAAGTCATGGTCATATTAGCTTGTGAAATAGACATTATTAATTTTTGATTCCTTCTTTGCTGAATCATGAATTGGCTTGCTATATGAGCGTTTAACCAATGTTTCATTGTGAAATTTGAAAAACGTAGTTTTGTTTCAAAGGGAAAAAATGATATTTGAAAATTATTGCTTCTTCTTAAGCATTAAAAATCTCGAGTACTCGGGGCAATCATCTGTAATGCTTACAGGACCCATCCATTTATAATTGTCACATAGCAAGCGCTCTTTGTAGATAGCAGTTGAGTCTCTCTCCTGTAAAGGAAGCATTCCTGTCTATCCAAAGGAGAAATTTTGTATCCTATGGCTTGGCTAACAGAGTCTCGATGTGCTGTTATTTTTGTATTAGTCCATGTGAAGTGTGTTTCTTTGAAGAAGTATCTGAACAGTCATATTGTGGATTGAAGCATCATATGTAGTTCATACTTGATACTAAGCAAATGAAATTGCAGACATTTTCTGCAATCACAGATGGAGTAAAAGTCGTACTTGTTTGTCAGTTTATTTGTATAGTCTATTTTATGTTTTGATCTTTGCATATTGGTTTCAACTTGCAGTTCGGGTACATTGTGCTGACTACCTCAGCTGGTATCATGGACCACGAAGAGGCTAGGAGAAAGAATGTTGGTGGAAAAGTTCTTGGTTTCTTTTATTGAGTCATGTTGGAAAGGATGAAAACTTTGGTTTTGCTGTTTGTTGGCTCGTTGTAACCGACCTTTTTCTGTTTTTCTCGTTACCATCAAATTTAGTAGAGATTTTATTGAAAATTTTGAGACAATTATCAGATTTTGTTGAAAAACTTGCTGGTGCTTATTGCCTGTTGAGACAATTGACATCTAAAGTTGTAGATGTGCATGTTTGTGTTTTTTCCTAGTATAAAAGGTAAGAGAAACGTCCTCTTTTCTTCTAGTCTTGTTAGCTTCTAGAGAGCAAGCATACATGTTAAATTTCTGGTAAAATGAACCAAGAAGGATTGATAGTGAGTTTGTGTTCAAGTATACCATTTGCGTAAACAGTGAAGTTAATTTTCTTAGATGTATTTGGTTATTAGGTCTTATAGCTCAGTTGTTTAAACTAGAATAGAATTTTTTTGAAAAGAAAAATCAGTTTTTTTTATGGGTAATTAATTTTACTATCTTGAAATAACTATGTAACATAGGCTACTTATATTAGCAATAGCTCATATTGACACGATAATTTATAATTTATACTACTTTTTGTATATTTTTGAATGTCTTAACTTTTAATTTTAAAGTATTTACCTATTTAGTTCTTATTTTTTAATTTTTGCTTTTTCCGACTTATGGGTATAATCAATATGATAGTGATATCAATAAAGTATAATTCTTTGTTTTCATACGAGGGGAAATTTTATTGAATTTAATTTTTATTTTATGTCTCTTTCTTTTCCCTACAGAGCTACACTTCAATGGTCTTACATAATGTGATAAATAGCTAAAATTAGTTATATTTCAGTTATCCACTATCATTTATTTTTTGTAGTTATTGTTCTCAATTAATTTGATCTAGTTATGTAGCTGACATATTATTCAAACATTACCAATCTTCTATGCAAAACTAGTAAATTTATCTAAATAAGAGAATTTTTCTGTTTCTATAATTTTTTTATATTTGATCAGTGAAACAGAAAAAACAAAGATAGATATGAACACAACAAGATTTTTTTTTTTTTTAAAAACTTTTAAAACCATATATAGAAAAATGTAAGCTATAAGTTGATAACTTATAAGGATTATATGCTGCTCAAAATGATTTTACGTTTATGATCTTTGCGTCTAATTTTTATTAACCTGCTCAAAATTTAAAGATCACATCACAAAATTGACATAGTGAAAGAGAATTTTCTTAGAGGTCTTTGGTTATTAGGTCTTATATCTCATTTGTTTAAACTAGAGGGAAATTTTTGAAGAGAAAATCAGTTTTTTTCTATGAGTAATTTATTTTGCTTCTTGAATTACATATGTAACATAGGCTACTTATATTAGCAATATCTCACATAGACACGACAACTTATAATTTATACTACTTTAAAGTTTTTTGAATGTTTAACTTTAATTTCAAAGTATTACTTATTTGGTTCTTATTTTTTTATTTTTGCTTTTTCCTACTTATGGTGTAATCAATATGATAGTGATAGCAATAAAGTATAATTGTTTGTTTTCATACCAGGGGAAATTTTATTGAATTTAATTTTTATTTTATGCCTCTTCTTTTTTCTAAAAAGTGATACCTTAATGATCTTACGTAATGTGATAAATATCTAAAATTAGTTATATTTCAGTTACCCACTATCAATTATTTTTTGTAGTTATTGCTCTCAATTAATTTTATCTAGTTATGTAGGTGACGTATAATTCAAATATTATCAATCTTCTATGCAAAACTAGTAAATTTATCTAAATAAGAGAATTTTTCTGGTTCTATATTTTTTTTTTATATTTGATCAATGAAACAGAAAGAACAAAGATAGATATGAACACAACAAGAATTTTTTTTTTTAAAAACTTTTAAAATCATATATAGAAAAATGTAAGCTGTAAGTTTATAACTTATAAGTATTATATGCAGCTCAAAATGATTTTACGCTTATGACCTTTGCGTCTAATTTTTAATAACATGCTAAATTCAATCTAGTTAACCCATTTATTTGACTTCTATCCAAATTGAGAAGAACTAATTTTTTCTGCATATGAATAGATAGAGCTCTATTCCCCTTTCTCCTCTATATATATTTCTCCACTTCATTTCTTAGTGAAATATGTGAGACAATTGCTTCTTTCTTTTAATATTTTATAAAGATTCTAAATTGACTCCAAGATAATTAGATTCTTGAAAGGATAGGCCCTTCTTCATCTTTTTCTCAAAAAATTCGACTTCTCTAACTCTTTAGACAAGAAAAATGACATTCCAAAAAATCAACACTAGCTTGGTATTGATCATATTTTTCGCAGTTCAGTACACTGCTTCAACACAAAACAATAATAATATTCATTTCGTTGTAAGTATTGTCTGTTCATTTAGTTTATTTTTTTTGCATTATTAAAGTTATGGTTTGTGTTTGTGTATGTACTAATCAATTTTATCTTGTACTATCAACAGATTGAAGAAACTTCTTTCGATAGGCTTTGCCAATCGAAGAAGATTCTTACTATCAACGGACGATTCCCAGGGCCTACCATATATGCGCGCGCTGGAGAAACGTTGGTCCTAGACGTTGAAAACAAAGGGAAGGACAACGTTACGATGTTTTGGTACATTCAAATTATCCAGAAATACTACTTTTCATTGTTTAAGTAATTTGTTACTTTTGGTGACTGTTTTTTTCTTTCTAAAATTAAGTTGTAGGGGCGTGGGTAAACAGGTGAAGTCTGATCAAGTGGAGTGGCTAGTTAAGGCAGGGTCTACAGTAAGAAAAAATATCACAATATCTGACGACGTGGAAGGGACGCTATGGTGGCATGCCATGAATATCTGGCAACGCGCCACTGTTCATGGCGCTTTCATTGTCCATCCAAAACCCGGAAAGCCTGATGATCATGCCGATATTCCCATCATTTTAGGTATATAAGTTAAATAATATTCGAATAATTTAGTTTTTAAGTAATTTCTTTCAAAAACTTAAGTCTTTTACTAACATATATTTTCTTTTTGTTTGATTAATTCTTCACAATTTCACCAGGTGAATGGTGGAAGAAGGATGTCAAGGAGGTCTTCCTTGACTATATTGACTCAGGCAGTGACATAAAATCGGACGCTTTCACGGTTAATGGACAGCCTGGTGACTTCTACCCTTGTTCAAACAATGGTATGTATAAGTCGTCCAGTTCAATTTATTTATATCAAACTTAATTAATGTATTAAAATCAAAATATTCGTATCCGATGGGCCAGTTCTCCTATCTATCAAACTAGTTTTTTTGGGTTGGACTCTTCTGTTTGATTTCTAACATTGTTTTTTTATTTATTTTGTGATTCTGTCCATATGGGCCAGCTTACTTATTATTTTCTCGAGTTATTTGTTGCACTTATTTTAATATTCTTTTATTAATTAAAATGGACAGGAACTTTTAGGATAGTAGTGGATACTGGGAAGAAATATCTTCTCAGAATTGTGAACGCTGCAATCCGTAAAAAACTTTACATTGGGATCGCAAGTCACGACTTAACCGTAATTGCGATGGATGGAAGTCCTCTAACAAAACCATTTACAACAGGCTACGTCGAATTGAGTGTAGAACACTCAATTGACTGCATCTTCGAGGCGAACCAGCATCCAGATTATTATTATATGGTTGTTGTAACGAATATTAGCAAGACGTATAACACAAATAAAGTTACAACCGCCATTATAGAATACCAAGGGAATTACATACCCTCTTCACCACCTCTTCTTCCCAACTTCTCCCTCAACTACGATAAAAGTTCTAGTAGGGATTATTTATATGTAATAATGACTTTTGTAATTTTGGGTTTATTTTTTTGTACGACATTCGTTGTTTGGTATAGGCAGACTAATAGGCCTCATAGAAGTGCAATGGTGACTCCCTTGTAAATTATAATAAAGTTTTATATTGATGTTTATATTTGAAATTACGAATTGTATGATAAGATGGTCTATAAATATTTCATGTAAACTTATGTCAAACAATACTTGAGATAATACACTGAATGTTGAGCATGTGAGAGAAAATTTCATGTTTCGTGTTGGCCTTGATGTGTTTAATTTTTCTTTTATATCTCTTGTGAGGTGTGAATCCTGCATTCTTTAGATGAGACATAATGGTGTGTTCACTCTACAAGATTCCACTATCAATCAATGTGTTTATCAATGGATAGGAGTAGCTTAAAGGCAATGGATATTTCAATGAAGGAAATCTTTTGCACAGTGTCTTTTTCCTCGTAGATTTTTGAGTTTGCACTGGTTATATTTTATTGCTTTAAGTTGCATCTTCCAGGAGCTGAAATGTAAATAAATGAGTTGCATCTCCCCTATCAAGTTAAAGTCGACGTCTTAACCTGACTTTATGAGCTCAGTTGATACTCAAGGTGTACATGTAATTTATCAGAAGGATGTGGATACGTAGATGCATGATAGTTACAAAAACATTTCATTTAAGTTGATGGGTTGAGGAGGCCCACGACAGACAAGAACACTGATCAATGCTCAAGACAGCTTCTTTAATTTGGCGCATGATGAAAGGATTATATATATACAATACCTACTCTTCTCTGAAGAAAGCAAGAAGTTAGCTAGCAAGTTGTGGTGGACTGGTTCGGAATAATGGGTGAAGTAATATATATGTTGTATATTGTATGCTGAGGATGAATCAAATTGGTTCTCTGATGTTGTATGTTACAAGTCAATACCGGCACTCTATATAAATGCCACTAAAGGCTTTAGCGACACCGGATGCAATGGCATTAACTTAAATGCGCTAAAACTGATTTTTGTGGTAGTGTCAACACATATATACACTATAAGAAAAGTGTTGATTACCTGGGGATTTTCCTAGGGATAGTACAGTAAATCCGCATGTAATTTGATTACCTGCGATTTTTCTTGCAAAATGAAATCCGATGGAAAAACCTTCGTAGATAACTCTTACCTGCGGATTTATACAATCCCTAGGTAATTTACTTGGGGAATTTAAATCCGCAGGTGTTTTACTTGCGGATTTATCTGCGATAACTATAAAAAATTCTTGCGAATATTTTGCTAAAATTTCTTATAAGAACGAAATTTCTTGCTGATTTTCGTAGAAATATTTTGCAAGTGATTCCCCATGAAGATCCCCAAGTAAATCCATAGGAGTTTGGAGATGAAATTTTTTGAAACAAAAGGAAATTTCTTGCGGATATATATGAAAGTATTGCTCAAGATAATTCCAATGAAAAGAAACCTGCAAGAACCAACAAAAAACACAATTCATGTTATATCACTTCATTCAACAAAAATACAGAATTCATAATTCACAATTCCTATGAAAAGAAACCTGCAAGATCAATAGTTTATGATTCTTAAACATACAAAAACAAAATACAACTCAAATTTGAATCCTAAATAGTACTATCAACTATTTCAATCCCCATTTGAAGATGATGCGTTATAATGGGCAGAACCATTGTCATTCACGTTATCATGGGCAGAACCACTATCATTCACGCTATCAGAGTCATCACCACTTTCATTCTCATAAGCTTGATTGTCTTCTTGTGATGATTGCTCATTTGAAGATGATGCGTTGTATACGTGCTTCTTCAATAAGTCCAATTCCCTCCTCATCCTCTTATTCTTGTGACGCTCTTTCTGCAGTTGAGCATATAAGTCAGCATTGGAAGCATTTACCTGAGCTTTAATTATCTCATCAATTTCTCTCGATAAAGCTGATGTTGATTTAGATGACGCCTTTACAGATCGACCGAGGGAGCCAAGACCTTTAACTCTTCCTTTTTTCTTTCCACCAACAGCTTGCACCCAGATATCCATTTCTGTTAATTGAGAAGGTTGACCAGCTAAATTAGTTTCTCCTTCCACAGCTGATGCACTTTGAGAAGCTAATAATTCTTGTTTCTTTCTTTCAAAAGTATTCTGCATCAAAACAAGTTATTTGAGACAATATTTAAAGGCAAATCTCTAGCTCTCACCATTAACTGGCAACCATCAAAAGCAATATATATACTTGTCAACATTGATATTAACAAATAAAATATGATTACATAATGAATATACTAGCATGGCGTTTTCTGTAGAGTACTGCCAACTTCTTATTCTTTGTACTTGAAGTAAAAGGGTCGAGATGTTCTTCACTTATGATTGCTTTCACTTGGAAGACAACTACATCTACCACTACTAGCTGAATTCTACAATATAACTGTTCTCTTTCCTATTAGGAATTTATGAAGGTTGAAAAAGAAACTTATATCCTAGTGTATTGAAGCAGATGGAGACTTCATTCAATGTGAGAATTGTAGAAAGTATTAGATGCACATTTTTGCCTATGTATAATCAAGTTAGCTGCTTAATATTGTCTGTCCCACCATAATCAACTATAGGACGTTACATTTTAACATAAAAATACTTCCTTGATGTAGGAAGTCCTTACGCTGGAGAACTGCTAACTAGTTTATACAGAAGTGCTAAGAGCCTAAGGCATTTAAACTAACAAATACAATTAAACTAGCAGCAAGCAGCATCATTAAACTAACAAATACAATTTTATTTCAGTGCTAAGAGCCTAAGACAACCTTAATAGTGAAGAGTACATTACCTTGACACTTTATTGTTTATTACCTTAAAAAAGGCTGCCAAACTATCAATCTTACTGCTAGAATTCTCTTATCAAACTGGATATATAATTAAGAAACTAAGGATACAGTGGGATCATATGGCAGTAGCTAGTGAAACTTTAGACATTAGCTTCCGAAATGATTGTTGGGGTGAATGTCAAGTCATGGTCATATTAGCTTGTGAAATAGACATTATTAATTTTTGATTCCTTACTTCTTTGCAGAATTATGAATTGCCTTGCTAAATGGGCGTTTCATTGTGAAATGTGTTTTTGTATTAGTCCAAGAGAAGTGTGTTTCTTTGTACTTGTGGCAATTAGCATCTTATATTGATGCTTATATTTGAAAAAATTACAAATTGTATCCCCAACAACATGTCAACATCGTCTATGTATTTTGTATTTTGTGTATATGTAAACTCATGTCCAGCGATACATAAGATAAGCAATCACATACACTCAATCGATGTATACACATTTTTTCCGTCTTCTAAAAGTCCAGCTAAACATTGATTCGTTCACACTACTAACTGGAATAATTGCATATGCTATCCAAAGTCTGTAATGTTCTTGAGCACTTAGCTGCCTATTCAATCAGATACTATTTTTTCACAACAATATATACCTTTGGAGGTTGGAGCTGCTTGTGAAGACTTCCATAATATAGAAGCACAAGCTACAAGACTGATCAAAGAAGCATAAATTATGTAAAGATACAGAAAAGATGGAGATATTCAAGGAAACAATGCAACAAGTGTAAAAGCAATAACTACAAAATCCATGCCGCAACATGTGTCCACGTTTTTAAGCTAAACTACAAAATCCAATGGCAAGAGCTCTGCCTGAACCACCTTCATTGGTTACAACTGTTATGATTGGAACTTTCAGCCCTTAAATTGTCATGAAAATATTGGAGGTGATTATAGATTCTACATGACCAAACGCAATCTAATATCGCAATATTTGAAAGTCATGAAGGTGAAGAATATTCCTTTCAAACAACTAAACGCTGCATAGACTCTCCAATAATCTGATAACTGAGCAATAAAATTAAATTGGGAACATGTTCAGAGGCTATGAGCAACAACTTCAGCTTAATTAATGAAAACATCAATTCAATTTAACCTATTATTAGCCACATAACAAATTACTTGGAATGCTTAATGATAGTAATTAGTAATATTGCTATGAATGAGAATTCTTGAAGCATAACAATGAGGGGTTGGCATTGCAAAGCATAACCTCAAGTTGCATTGTTAGATAAGCAACTTGCCACCTCAGTGTGGTCAATAATATAAGTAAGGTGTCAATTTTTTTTCTTAAAAAGACAGTACTTCTCCACTTTTTCATATTTCCATGAAATAATGATATGTTGCATCATGAGGAATGCATCACAACACATACAACACAAGGCATAATCAGTTCATTAAGACTTGCAAATAGTATCGAATTCCCAAACTCAAAAAGTCATGACAGGTATTCTCAAAGGATATGGATAGTGGAGAAATTCATTTGAAATCAGTCTTTACCACTAGAAATCATTTCTTTCATTTTAAGATGTTCATAAGTCAACTCAAGCCCCTGATCGGGCAATTTTCTCAAGAATCACAGACTTTCCACAACAGTTAACAGTATCACATAAGCCTCCACACAGGCTAACATCACAATAAGGCATCAATTGAATTAAAACAGGGATATCAACACTCACCAACTTCTAAGGCACATACGACTACTCATTTCATAGTTAACTTCCTAAGAACAAGTTAATTACTGATCAACTCAGTATAAAAAGAGGGATAGCCAAACCTACCTCAAGGCTGAAATTCACCCAAACAACTCTACCGGAGCAAATAATCAACCACGTGCTAACCGAAACGATCCTCAACTATCAAGAATGAGAAAAGTTTATCAAAAGAAGCTCAATGAAACCCAATGTGAAGGTTTTGAAATTGGGGGTAAAATAGTCCAAAAAATCACTTCGAATATCGAAGAGCAAAATCAGATTTTTAATTGAAATACACTTTCCACAAGCCAAAAGGAAACCGTGGTTTAAAACCCCATAAATTCGATGAAGAAATGAGCTTGAAATCAAGAAATCACCATTATTCTCATTTGAGAAAAACCTCTAAAGTCTCTACTTAAAACCTTGATTTAAAGATGTTATTGGAAGATGGAATTACTAGGAATCGATAAAGATAAGTAAAAGAAGCTTACCCTAACCTAGAATTCACCAAGAATCACTTAACAATCGCCTCCCAAAGCTCCAAGGGTTTGAAAATGGGATTTTTGCGAGAAATCCCGAATTTGAGTTCATTCTAAGTGAATTTTACTCATCGCAATCGTGAAAGACGCGGAAGAAACATTGTGATCGCGAGACACTTTGTCCGCAAGGGAAAAGGGAGCTTATCGCGGACGCGAGCCTATGGGCCACGAAGAAGACACATCGCGATCACGAAGGTAAAAAATGACCTGCGAAGAAAACTGCCAGCAACTCAAACTCAAATAAAAAGCCTCCGAATGAACCCCTAGGAATCGTTCGGGGTCCTATCAAAATAAACTGGACATGCTACTCCATTAGAATAGTTATTCCAGACTCAATGGAATCGTCAAATTTCCAAAAACAAGGTCAAATAATCCAACTACCCTCCCGAACCACTCTTGAGGTTAAAACTAAACTTTTCACCCAAATGCCGAAAAACTCAACATAAGGCCTCAGACACCTTACCAACCACCTAACTAGCAAAAACTTGACCTTCCCGACATGATGGGACTGACAAAAATCCCATCCGGTGCTCGGAACTCCTAATTATAATTTTTTGTTATTATTATTTAAATATTTATAATATATGAAAATACTCTATAGTTTTACTAAAAATAAATTGATAGCATAATTTTATTGACCACTTTCAGTGGATACTAATTAATTTGGAGAATATTTGTACAATGGATAAATTAGGAATTAATATTATTAATTATATTCGAATATTATTCATCATTTAAATCTTAGATTTAGATAATCAGATTGCATACCATGTTTGCCTAAATAACCATTTCTTCTGCACTATATATATAAGTTATTTGAGAAATATAATGAAAAACAAAGATGACATTGATATTTACAACTCTATGCTTCATTTTAGTTTGGACCACCATTGCCTTTTATTTGGTTGAAGGATATGGGTCTAGTCGAAATGCAGATCTCGTCCTTGAGGTATAATTTTCATATCTTTCATAGCAAATTTTATATGCCCTTATTTTTAATGAATAATTTGTAGTGAAATTAATTTATGTTTGCAGACTATTCACGGTGATATTTATGATTGTGTGGATGTTTATAAACAACCAACTCTTTTGCACCCGATGCCGCACAAAGAAAGAATCAAGGTGCAAGATTTATACTCATACAACTTAACTGATTTTTTCTTCTTTTCTTTTTGACAAACAAAAGCTGATAAAACACAAATTTCTGTTGTTTTGCAACGTTTTTGTATTTTTATCAAAGGTGGAATTCAAAGTTTTTGAAACTTATGAATTTCTGAATTTTGATATAAATAATTTATACATTTCTTAACAATTTGAAAAGAAAAATCTAATACTAGTAATTGACATAAGATGTCTTCCCAAAATGTTACTAATTTAAAGATCCACACAAATTATCTTATTCTAGGGTTGGGTTTACCCCAATCTATTTCTTTACAAGATATAGTTAATTCATAATAAAAATCAGATTCTTAATAAACTAGCATTTGAAGATTTCATATAAACATCCAATCAATTAGTGAATTCAAGAATTTTGTTAAGAATGTTTAAGATTTAATATATAATTAAGTATAAAATTAAAGTTTATATATAATAAATGTAGTATAACTTTTTGAGAAAAAATGTTTAACTGATCACTCTTTGATTAACTCTTATCATTGTTATTAAAATGTAATCCTTATATGCATTTATTTTCAGTAATATTTTATGTTTACTTGAATATAATTTTACTTGTATTTTCTTTGAAATTCATCATTTTTTTCTGCACGTATGGGGATTTTCGAAACAATAGATGACAATTGCTAAGGAGCTAGAAAAACAAAGATCAGTCAAAGCCAAGCGATTGCTAAAAGATGAAAATATTTATTTTAAGGCAGAAGAGTTCTGGTTGAATAAAAAAGGTTGTCCGATTGGAACGGTCCCTATTCGACGATTGACACAAGAACAACTCCAAAATGCCAAAGATGCCTCCTTAAGCATGGCAAATAAATCCCTCGCTGAAGATATCATCGATGTAATTACTTCTTTAATTATTATAATTTATCATTAATACTCAACAAATTCAATTTCAAATAGTTATTCTAATTAATTTAATGTAATACTATACTTCAGTTTGCAGGAATTAGTATAAATGCATCTCCAGAAATAAAAAGTTTTACAAGTGCCACAGCCACTGTTACTTTGTATAATCTACATGTAAATGGACTTGGCCAATATAGTTCTGCAACAGTATTTCATCAAAGTGCAGATAATGCGACAAAATTTCGAGCAAATACAAGCCGGATGGATTGTATGTTTTTATATCAAATCAATGATTTGAACCTATTAAGTATTTTTTTGACGATTCGATTTCCTAAAGTCATGATGCTTGTTTGGTTTAGGTACATCCACAACTATACGGTGATAGCCGGACTCGGTTATACTCCCATTGGACAGTAAGTATATTAGAAATTAATTGGTATTTTCCTAAAAGAAATAAGTCAAAAGCATGTAGAATAAGTAAATTTCATTTTTTTTTGAGTTAAATAGACAGATGGCGGCCAGAAAACAGGATGTTACAACAATATTTGTCCAGGATTTGTTCAACTTGACACTGAAGTACCAATAGATTATGCTTTCCCAAAAATCTCTAGGCCAATGTATGATGACGAAGAATTGCTAATTCAGATCTATAAGGATCAAGGTAATTAAAATTACTTTGAAATATTAATATCAGCAAGTATATATGTAGTTGTTGTAACTCTGGTGTTATTTATTTTTGCAGACTATTATCTTTACATACAATCTATGTTTAGTATTGGATTTTGGCCGGAGACCATGTTCAATGAATTAAGAAATGGATCGCAGGTAGTGCGATATGGAGGACAAGCGTTTACACCAGCGGGTCAACAATATAGTCCACCCATGGGAAATGGTAATTTTCAGGATGGCAATCCACACACCACTTGTCATATGCGTCAAGTCCTGTATGGAGTGGGCTATAATACAGAAGTTCAACCCGATGAATCGTTGGTTCAAACTCATCAATCTAGATGTTACCATGAAGGAAGTCAGCATAATGCTCATGATGATTACTGGGATTATAATTTTTTGTTTGGGGGTGGTGGTTTTTGCTAGGATGCACCAACTGCTTGTACTGTATTGATATATAAAACTAAGAAGCTATTATATTATTTCTTGCAATTGCAATTTCAATTTATTTTGGGTGATTCAATACTTGATTTGCCTGTTATTGAAAACATATTATTTCAATTCAAACTCTTCACTTAATAATTAGCTAACAAGTGTGGCGAGACGAATGTGATTTTTGCATCCTACATAAGAGAATATTTTCAATTTGAGCTTAGGAATAGAGAAATTCTTGACGGAAAACACTTTCTCTTGTAATAGCGATAAAATTTCAAGAAATACGAAACAAAGATATTTTTGTGCCTTCATTTGTGTCAACTTCACGGAGCCACTTAAAATCTTATACCTTAACTGGACTTTCACCGTGCTATATATTGTGTGGCCTGCTGGTTTAATCTTTCTGTTGCTCTCTTTTGGACGAACAAGGGAAGCGTGACTTCTACCCTTTCTCAAACAATGGTACGTAAAAGTTGTTTAATGTATTAGAAATCAGCATCTTCTCCTTCAATCTCTCTTCATTAATTTAGTTTGATCTTAACTGTTTGCACTGCTAGCATCACCCTATTATTTTCTTACTGTTGGTATATATGTGTAGGTTACATCGGAGAATTTGAGTATGTCGATGATCATAGGTCTGGAAAGATAGTTGTCAAATTGAATGAAAGGCTAAACAAGTGTGGTGTCATTAGTCCTCGCTTCGATGTTGGAGATTGAAGGATGGACTGCTAGATTGCTCCCTCCCTTCCCGACAGGTATAGTAATTAATATATTCACTTTGTTCCCTTGATCAATATATATATGGAACTCCATTTCTGGTTATCTCCAAATTGAGCCGAAATGATTGTTGGGGTGAATGTCAAGTCATGGTCATATTAGCTTGTGAAATAGACATTATTAATTTTTGATTGCTTACTTCTTTGCTGAATTATGAATTGCCTTGCTAAATGGGCGTTTGACCATGTTTCATTGTGAAATTTGAAAAAAGTAGTTTTGTTTTCAAAGGGAAAAAAGATATTTGAAAATTATTGGTTCTCCTTAATTAGTTAAAAATCTTGAGTACTCGTGGTAAGCATCTGTAATCCATTTATAAATGTCACATAGCAAGCACTCTTTGTAGATGCTAGTAGTTGAGGAAGAATTCCTGTCTATCCAAAGGAGAAATTTTGTATCGTATGGCTTGGCTAACAGAGTCTCTGTTGTTATTTTTGTATTAGTCCAAGAGAAGTGTGTTTCTTTGTACTTGTGGCAATTAGCATCTTATATTGATGCTTATATTTTAAAAAATACAAATTGTATCCCCAACAACATATCAACATCGTCTATGTATTTTGTATGTTGTGTATATGTAAATTTATGTCCAGCGATACATAAGATATACAATCACATATACTCAATTGACGTATGCATATTTTTTCCGTCTTCTAAAAGTCCAGCTAAACATTGTTTCGTTCACACTACTAACTGAAATAATTGCATCTGCTATCCAAAGTCTGTAATGTTCTTGAGCTCTTAGCTGCCTATTCAATCTGCATAAAACTTTTTTTTCATAACAATATATACCTTTGGAGGTTGGAGCTGCTTGTGAAGACTTCCATAATATAGAAGAATAGATTTTGTAAAGATACAGAAAAGATGGAGATATTCAAGGAAACAATGCAACAAGTGTAAAAACAATAACTACAAAATCCATGCCGCAACATCATATGTACAATGTGTCCGCATTTTTAAGCTAAAACAACATCACAACACAAGGCTTAATCAGTTCATTGAGACTTGCAAATAACATCAAATTCTCAAAGGATATGGATAATGGAGAAATCCATTTGAAATCAGTCTTTACCACTAGAAATCATTTCTTTCATTTTAAGATGTTCATAAGTCAACTCAAGCCCCTAACTTGGGCAATTTTCTCAAGAATCACAGATTTTCCACAACAGTTAACAGTATCACATAAGCCTCCACACATGCTAACATCAAAGTAAGGCATCAATCGAATTGAAACAGGGATATCAACACTCACCAACATCTAAGGCACATACGACCACTCATTTCATAGTTAACTTCCTAAGAACAAGTTAATTACTGATCAACTCAGTCTAAAAAAAGGGATAGCCAAACCTACATGAAACTTCACCCAAACAACTCTATCGGAGCAAATAATCAACAACGCACTAACCGAAACGATCCTCAACTATCAAGAATGGGAAAAGTTTATCAAAAGAAGCTCAATGATACCCATAGTGAAGGGTTTTGAAATTGGGGCTAAAATAGTCCAAAAAATCACTTTGAAAATCGAAGAGCAAAATCAGATTTTTAATTGAAATACACTTTCCACAAGCCAAAAGGAAACCGTGGTTTAAAACCCCATAAATTCGATGAAGAAATGAGCTTGAAATCAAGAAATCACCATTATTCTCATTTGAGAAAAACCTCTAAAGTCTCTACTTAAAACCTTGATTTAAAGATGTTATTGGAAGATGGAATTACTAGGAATCGATAAAGATAAGTAAAAGAAGCTTACCCTAACCTAGAATTCACCAAGAATCACTTAACAATCGCCTCCCAAAGCTCCAAGGGTTTGAAAATGGGATTTTTGCGAGAAATCCCGAATTTGAGTTCATTCTAAGTGAATTTTACTCATCGCGATCGTGAAAGACGCGGAAGAAACATTGCGATCGCGAGACACTTTGTCCGCAATCTTGAAGGGTTATTAGAGAAAAGGGAGCTTATCGCGGACACGAGCCTATGGGCCACGAAGAAGACACATCGCGATCGCAAAGGTAAAAAATGACCTGCATAGAAAACTGCCAGCAACTCAAACTCAAATTAAAAGCCTCCGAATGAACCTTAGGAATCGTTCGGGGTCCTATCAAAATAAACTGGACATGCTACTCAATTAGAATCGATATTCCAGACTCAATGGAATCGTCAAATTTCCAAAAACAAGGTCAAATAACCCAATTACCCTCCCGAACCACTCTTAAGGTTAAAACTCAACTTTTCACCCAAATGCCTAAAAATTCAACCGAAGGCCTCAGACACCTTACCAACCACCTAACTAGCTAAAACTTGACCTTCCCGACATGATGGGACTGACGAAAATCCCATCCGGCGCTCGAAACTCCAAATGTTGATCGAAGTCAACCCTATCAAGAATTCACAACTCAAGAGGGATGAAATCACCAAAAACATACCCAATCGCATTTGAGACCCACACCAACCATTCCCGGAATACAAACTAAGCATGCAAATGCTAAGGAGAGGGTAAAATGGCCAATTCACAATGAAAAGCAATTTCACAAGAAATGGGACACTACATGTTATTGGTTGAAATCAAAACCATACCAATTTAACCGATTTTTGAATTATTAAAACCAAACCTAACCAAGTATAATATACATTTATTGGTTTGATTGTTATCGATTTTGGTTTGGTTTGGTTCGTTTTTCGATTATTAACCATACACAAAAATTAAAATTAATAAAAAAATCATTCCAAAGAGGGAAAAAAGACAACAATTCATTTAAAATGAGAAATAGTTAGAATGATTAACATAACATAACTAATTTACTGTGAATAAAACTTCAAAATTCATCATTTTGGCCTGAAAGGAAGAGACAATGACATTCATAGTCCCACAAAAAATTATCATACACTTATATATGTGAAACTGATATGATAAACGTTCTCGGCTTGAACATTTTTGCTTTCGTAAATTAATATTGATGAATACATATATAAATATTTAAAATTGTTTATAAAAATAATATATTATCTATGTATAATGATAAAATATATGTATATAATTTATCGGTTCGGTTTGGTCTGATTATTTCTTCGTTTTTTTGAACAAATCAAAATCAAAACCAAAATCAAATCAAATACTTTTGATTTTTAAAAATCTAAGACCAAACCAAATCTCAATTAAGTCCATTTATTTAATCCGTTTGGTTCGATATTTTTTATTTGAATCAATTTTTATCCAAACTGTGAAGGAGTGAACACCCCTAGTCAATTGGAAAAGTATCATAGAGGCACATTTTTTATATATATAAGTATGTAATACATTTGATAGACAAATCAACCCACGTATATCATGCTTAAATTCTGCTAAATAATTCATAGTCAGTTGTCCAGTATTATAGATACTAACATTTTGATAGTCCTGTAGGATATATTATGCTTAAATTTTGTTAAATAATTGATATACTAATTATTTATATAAATTTTATTATAGATATACATTTTGATAGACATTTATGAAGGACAACTTATACAGTTATACACATTCTAAATATTATGAAGGATAAAACAATTATGTATATCATACTTAAATTTTGTTTAATAGTTGATATATACAGTAACCTATAAAAATGGTGTCGATTGAGCCCAAAATAATGAGACCGACAACCAAATAAGGAAAGGTCCGATTCACCGTTACAAATTAGAACATTATACATTAGAGATATATACTGTTTTATTTAAAAATAGAAAACGGATTTCAAGAGTCGCCACTTAATTTTTATAGTGAAAAATTAAGAAAACTATTTTTTCAAAAGATTAAAAACTGTTTTTTCAAAAGATTAAAAACTATTTTTTCAAAAGATTAAAATGTCCTCTAACATATGCGGTTATCCGACAATTAAAATATTTGTCTAAAAGTTAAGAAAATAAGCATGCTTGACTAAAATATCATTTTTAGGGGGAAAGGGAATATTATAAGGATATACTAAGTAAAATTTCAAAGTAATTTAAGTAAGAAAATAAACACTTGTTCAATTTATTTATTTTAAAAATATAAATAGGTAACTCAAAATGGCAATCCTTTGAGAAATTGGTTTAGGGAAAAACCTTGAAATTAAATAAATAAATAAAAAAGTAGTGGCAATTAAAACAAGGGAAAATTGTATATAATAGCAAACTATTAATTCAAATTAAATGCTATAAATATAGTTTGATTTAATTGTACCTCATAGCAAACTATTGCTATTTCACCTCTCTCCTGGAGAATCTTGCTCGCCACTCTCGTTCTCTCCCTCGCCTCTCTCATTTTTTATACAAACGCAAGTGTATAAAGTGTGTTTGTGTTTGTATAAAGCGAGAGAAAATTGTATATATACATATATTTTCGTTCCCCTCTCTCCCCTCTCCCAGATCTCGCTCGCCACTCTCCCAGATCTCGCTCACCACTCTCCCAGATCTCGCTCGCTCACTCGTCTCTCTCACTTTATACAATTGATCTTTTTGTATATGTATACTAAAGCAGATTATACAACTGCTTTCTTTTGTATATGTATAGCGAAATATACATATTTATGTTTGCTATGGAGCGCAATTGTGCAAACTTTGCTATAACATACAAATATGAATTTTGTGTTTGCTACATGTGAAAGTTGCTCTTAAAAGAAATAGGAAATGGAGAAGAAGTATTGGGCCCAAGTCTGGTTTTGTGCACCTGGGCTAACACTTGGGCCTAAATTCAGTTTTGGGCTTTTGGCCCATTTATATCCGGCACAATTCTTCATTTTTGTGCCTGTCCTATGCTATTAAATATTTGCCAAAGATAAGTGGGTTTTTGGCCCAATTCTCTATCCTAAACTAGCAAATAATGCCAAAAAGAAATGGGCTTATTGCCCAATTACAATACAAAACGAAGCTGGAAATTTCAAGAGGGCTTTTGGCCCATTTCAGCTGTATATGGGGGCTGTATCACACTGTATATCAATGTATATGCTGCATATTTTCAGCTGCGGGACCTGTTCATTATTTCACCACTGGCTGACTCGATAAAGAGAAGCAGTTGAGCCTCCATGGCCCATTTTGAAGATGCAAGGGAGAACATATGGAGTCCGATGGACTCAATCGAGGGAGTTCATGCAAGAAAAGACGATAAGGATTACGACAAGATAAGGCTAGAATAGATTACTACCCGAAAAATAGAAATTGATAGACATCAGACAAAGATAAGGAGAGTTTATTACCTCTTGTAGAGCAGCGAATCCGGGACGAACAAGCTAGAGAAGAGCCTTCCACGACCAACCCCAAACCCCAATGATTCCGACGAACTAAACAGAAGCATACGCAAGCAAAGACAAAGCAAAATTGAACCCTATTGGTCGGCGTTGTATGATGTTGGAGAATTGGAACTGGGCTGGGTCAGTAGTATATTATGAAGTGGGCTACTGGAATTGAGGAAAATTGATAGAATGGACTGCTGGATTTGTGTTGGGCTGATGGATCGGCTGAATTGGCCCAATTTTGGTCAGATAATTGAATTAAGATAAGGTTAAAAAGGTAAGATTTGCAAATACAAAATGGCTAAATGGATTGCAATTATAGCCATATAGAATTCAAAACATAGCCGAATTGAGTTAATTTAGTGAATCCGGCTAGAATTTAAACACGATGAATTAAGATTAATTAATTAGCAAGCTTCTTAAATTGACGAAATAAAATAATTAAACTAAATAACTTAAAATTATAAATATAAATTAAATTAAACTCATTTAATTGAATTTTTAATTAATATAAAATCTTTTTGAGATGATTTTTGAATATCCATAAAATATACTAATTATATAGAAACAATATACATTATTTGAAAATTATAAAAAGTACCAAATCTATTTAAAATAACTTGCAAACTATATTATATTATATTTTTTTGAAATTTTATAAAACTAATTATTTTAAATTGTTTGAAATTGAAGAAGCTCAATGATTAATCTATAATGTGGAGGTCCAAAATTGGGTGTCAACATATATTAGGATATGAATAACAAAGGAATGTACCAAAAAAGAAGAAACTAACTAGTATCCACGGACAAGCAAATATCAAAATTACACGATCTGTTTATTTTTAGAAATATTATGAAGTATTTTCACATATTATTATTATTTAAATAAAATAACAAAAAAAGGTATTATATCGTTTTATTATTGTTATTTAAATATTAATAATATATGAAAATACTTTATAATATTTCTAAAAATAAACTGATAGTATATAATTTTGTTGTCTACTATCAAAGATACTAGTTAATTTAGAGAATATTTGTGCAATGACTAAATTTCGTAATAATATTATTCATTATATTTGAATATTAAAGACATTTAAATCAAATCTTTTAAAACTGGAATCCTAATTATAATTTTTTTGTTATTATTATTTAAATATTTATAATATATGAAAATACTCTATAGTATTTCTAAAAATAAATTGATAGCATAATTTTATTGTCCACTTTCAATGGATACTAATTAATTTGAAGAATATTTGTACAATGGATAAATTAGGAATTAATATTATTAATTATATTTGAATATTATTCATCATTTAAATCTTAGATTTAGATAATTAGATTGCATACCATGTTTGCCTAAATAACCATTTCTTCTGCACTATATATATATATATATATAAGTTATTTCAGAAATATAATGAAAAACAAAGATGACATTGATATTTACAACTCTATGCTTCATCATTTTAGTTTGGACCACCATTGCCTTTTGTTTGGTTGAAGGTTATGGGTCTAGTCGAAATGTAGATCTCATCCTTGAGGTATAATTTTCATATCTTTCATAGCAAATTTTATATGCCCTTATTTTAAATGAATAATTTGTAGTGAAATTAATTTATGTTTGCAGACTATTCACGGAGATATTTATGATTGTGTGGATGTTTATAAACAACCAACTCTTTTGCACCCGATGCCGCACAAAGAAAGAATCAAGGTGCAAGATTTATACTCATACAACTTAACTGATTTTTTCTTCTTTTCTTTTGACAAACAAAAGCTGATAAAACACAATTCTGTTGTTTGCAACGTTTTGTATTTTTATCAAAGGTGGAATCAAGTTTTGAAACTTATGAATTTCTGAATTTTGATATAACTAATTTATATATTTCTTAATTTGAAAAGAAAAATCTAATACTAGTAATTGACATAAGATGTCTTCCCTAATGTTACTAATTTATAGATCCACACAAGTTATCTTATTATAGGGTTGGGTTATCCCCAATCTATTTCTTTACAAGATATAGTTAATTCATAATTAAAATCATATTCTTAATAAACTAGCATTTGACGATTTCATATAAACATCCAATCAATTAGTGAATCCAAGAATCTTGTTAAGAATGTTTAAGATTTAATATATAATTAAGTATAAAATTAAAGTTTATATATAATATATGTAGTGTAACTTTTTGAGAAAAAATGTTTAACTGATTACTCTTTGATTAACTCTTATCATTGTCATTAAAATATAACCCTTACATGCATTTATTTTCAGTAATATTTTATGTTTACTTGAATATAATTTTACTTGTATTTTCTTTGAAATTCATCATTTTTTTCTGCACGTATGGGAATTTTCGAAACAACAGATGACAATTGCTAAGGAGCTAGAAAAACAAAGATCAGTCAAAGCCAAGCGATTGCAAAAAGATGAAAATATTTATTTTAAGGCAGAAGAGTTTTGGTTGAATAAAAATGGTTGTCCGATTGGAACAGTCCCTATTCGACGATTGACACAAGAACAACTCCAAAATGCCAAAGATGCCTCCTTAAGTATGGCAAATAAATCCCTTGCTGAAGATATCATCGATGTAACTACTTCTTTAATTATTAAAATTTATCATTAATACTCAACAAATTCAATTTCAGATAGTTATTCTAATTAATTTAATGTAACACTATACTTCAGTTTGCAGGAATTAGTATAAATGCATCTCCAGAAATAAAAAGTTTTACAAGTGCCACAGCCACTGTTACGTTGTATAATCTACACGTAAATGGACTTGGCCAATATAGTTCTGCAACAATATTTCATCAAAGTGCAGATAGTGCGACAAATTTCGAGCAAATACAAGCCGGATGGATTGTAAGTTTTTATATCAAATCAATGATTTGAATCTATTAAGTATTTTTTGACGATTCAATTTCCTAAAGTCATGATGTTTATTTGGTTTAGGTACATCCACAACTATACGGTGATAGCCGGACTCGGTTATACTCCCATTGGACAGTAAGTATATTAGAAATTAATTGATATTTTTCTAAAAGAAATAATTCAAAAGCATGTAGAATAAGTAAATTTCATTTTTTTTAATTAAATAGACAGATGGCGGCCTGAAAACAGGATGTTACAACAATATTTGTCCAGGATTTGTTCAACTTGACACTACAGTACCAATAGATTATGCATTCCCAAAAATCTCTAGGCCAATGTATGATGACTATGAATTGGAAATTCAGATATACAAGGATGAAGGTAATTAAAATTACGATAGTTGTAATACTTTGGAATATTAATATCAGTATCAACAAGTATGTTGTTGTTGTAACTCTGTTGTTATTTATTTTTCCAGACTATTATCTTTTGTTTCAGGGTTTTATTAGTATTGGATTTTGGCCGGAGACACTTTTCAATGAATTAAGAAATGGATCGCAGGTAGTGCGATATGGAGGACAAGCGTTTACACCAGCGGGTCAACAATATAGTCCACCCATGGGAAATGGTAATTTTCAGGATGGCAATCCACACACCACTTGTCATATGCGTCAAGTCCTGTATGGAGTGGGATATAATCAACTAGTTCAACCCGATGAATCGTTGGTTCAAACTCATCAATCTAGATGTTACCATGAAGGAAGTCAGCACAATGCTCATGATGATTACTGGGATTATAATTTTTTGTTTGGGGGTGGTGGTTTTTGCTGAGATGCACCAACTGCTTGTATTGTATTGATACATAAAACTAAGAAGCTATTATATTAGTTCTTGCAATTACAATTGCAATTTATTTTGGGTGATTCAATACTTGATGTGCGTGTTATTGAAAACATATTATTTAGGAGAATTGACAATTATGTCAATTCAAACTCTTTACTTAATTAGCTAACAAGTGTGGCGAGACGAATGTGATTTTTGCATCCTAAATAAGATAATTTTTTCAGTTTGAGCTTAGGAATAGAGAAATTCCTGACAGAAAACACTTTCTCCTGTAATGTGAACGCTGCAATGCGTAAAACACTTTACTTTGGGATCGCAAGGGACAACTTAACTGTAATCGCAATGGATGGAAGTCCTACAACAAAGCCATTTACAACAGACTATGTGGAATTGAGTATACAACAATCGATTGATTGCATCTTCAAAGGCGAACTAATAGCCAGATTATTATATGGTTACTAGAACCGTATGTTGGTCAGACGTGACACGAATAAAATGAGTTATGGTGCTTTAAGCAAATAGATTGTAAGTGGGTTGGTGTGTGTGAGCTTGTTCTATTAGAGAGAACACACTTTTATTGGTTAATTGTATTCTTAACACGCCCTCTCACATATGGGCCTTTATTATGCTTTTTGATAATGGGTGGTGGTGAAAATTTGTTTCTTTTTCTTTTATAAAGGTAGCGTTATTGATGTAGGTCTGTATATTGGTAATTATTGTGTTGTCTTTTGTTGAGTCCTCACTGTGGTTATATTGTTGTCATGGTTTCTGAAGTTTGCTGGTCTGCTTCTAATCTATAGTTACTAATACATGTGAATTTGTGCTGTCAACCTAGTGTCTTTTAGAGGACATTGACTATATCTTGCTACCATTTGATTCTTTTTGTTTGTTTTTTGGAGCTATTTTTGTGGTTACTTTTTTCGATGGTGCATCTGATTATTGCATATACTGGATACAGTTAGATAAGAAAAGATGGTCAGAGTTAGTGTGCTGAATGATGCGTCAATATAACCACAGTGAGGACTCAACAAAAGCGTCAGGTCATGATTAGACCTTCATCAAAAGTCATCATCAAGTTCCTCATTGTTATGCAGAAGCATGGTATGTTAATTTCTTAACTGTATGCACTACTAGCATCACCCTATCATTTTCTTACTGTTGGTGTCTATCTGTAGGTTACATCGGAGAATTTGAGTACGTCAATGATCATAGGTCCGGAAAGATTGTTGTCGAACTGAATGGAAGGCTAAACAAGTGTGGTGTCATTAGTCCTCGCTTCGTTTTTGGAGATTCAAGGATGGACTGCTAGATTGCTCGCTCCCTTCCCGACAGGTATAGTAATTAATATATTCACTTTGATCAATATATGGAACTCCATTTCTGGTTATCTCCAAATTGAGCCGAAATGATTGTTGGGGTGAATGTCAAGTCATGGTTATATTAGCTTGTGAAATAGACATAATTAATTTTTGATTCCTTCTTTGCTGAATCATGAATTGGCTTGCTATATGGGTGTTTAACCAATGTTTCATTGTGAAATTTGAAAAAAGTAGTTTTGTTTCAAAGGGAAAAAATGATATTTGAAAATTATTGCTTCTTCTTAAGCAGTAAAAATCTTGAGTACTCATCTGTAATGCTTACAAGACCCATCCATCCAAAAGAGCAAGCGCTCTTTGTAGATGCTAGCAGTTGAGGCTCTCCTGTAAAGGAAGCATTACTGTCTATCCAAAAGGAGAAATTTTGTATCCTATGGTTTGGCTAACAGAGTCTCGATCTGCTGTTATTTTTGTATTAGTCCATGAGAAGTGTGTTTCTTTGAAGAAGTATCTCAACAGACGGTCATATTGTGGATTGAAGAATCATATGTAGTTCATACTTGATACTAAGCAAATGAAAGTGCAGACATTTTCTGCGATCACAGATGGAGTAAAAGTATCTATTTCTATGGTCTGATCTTTACGTATTGGTTTCAACTTGCAGTTCGGGTACATTGTACTGACTACCTCAGCTGGACTCATGGACCACGAAGAGGCTAGGAGAAAGAATGTTGGTGGAAAAGTTCTTGGTTTCATCATGTTGACAAGGATGAAAACTTTGGTTTTACTGTTTGTTGGCTCGTTGTAACCGACCTTTTTCTGTTTTTCTAGTTACCATCAAATTTATTGAAAATTTTGAGACAATAATCAGATTTTGTTGAAAAAGTTGCTGGTGAATAGCCTGTTGAGACCATTGGCATCTAAAGTTTGTAGTAGATGTGCATGTTTGTGTTTTTTTACTAGTACTAGATGGGGATGTCCATGCGCGCACGAGCCCAATATATGTTTGACAATAATTTTTATAATAGGTTGGTAATATATATAAGTACATATTGTTTATATATTACATTTTTTATTGCACTGCCTATGCGTGTTTGCGCTAGATTTTTATACATTTTTACATCTTTGTACAAAAAAGGTGGAAGTGATAGTGGCGGCAATTCATGCTGCTGCTTTGTAGCTGACAAAATATCTGCAGTTAAAAAAGAGGAGTGTTTTAGATTGTGGAGGTATAACTTAGTAAAAATGGAGTTAATAGGGCTGATTGTAACGTACCTTGTTGAAACTATTAATGTCTTGCCCTTTTTTGCAATTTTTCATGGGAGGCAGTGCATATACAAAAGCATAGTCTTTGTTGCAAAAACAATCTGCAAAATCATGTGCGAGAGAAGTTGTTTTAGTAATTAGAGACGCATAAAATTAGTGCATGACCGGATAAAAGGAAGAATCCAATCCCCTTCTTCCTGATCTTATTGGCCTTACAGCAGGCCTAAGAGCAAGGAAGTCTCAATTCCCCAATCCCCCAGGGTGAGGGGTGACAAATTTTGTAAATTTCTTGTATTGAGAGATGCAACATATTTTCAGCCATTTGGTCGGAGACAAAAGGATCAGTAACTGTGATATCAAATTGTACTCTGTATATAGAAGGGTAGAGTTTTAGTTCAGTCATTTGTAAAATAGCTTAAAAAAAGTAAGTATTGATTATACCTTGGGATGAGCATAGTAGATCGATCACAATGTATATCAGATATGTATGTTGATTCTTCTTCAAATGGAACAAACAGAAGGGAGCCAGTTGTGGATGTGCTTTTTGCTGTGTATTCAATCAGCAGTGGCTGGATTGTTTGTCCCCTGTAAGATGGAATGCAAGAAGAGAGTTATGTAAATAATCTTGTAGTGATATCAAATGATCATAATATTCGTTGAAGTGCTGTATCTGCTGCCCTCCAGAAAACTCAGGTTGTGTGTATCTGCTGCCCTCCAGAAATTAGAAATGTCTTAAACAAAGGTTGAAGTGTGTTGTGACAGAACCAGGTTCCGCATTTCTTTTATACAAGAAATACAGAAAAAATATTTCTTCTGTTTCAGTTTAAGTATGTTATATCAGAGATAATGTCTTTTTTTATATTTTGTTCAAGTTTTCCAATTCCAACAGCCTGACAGGGTTACAAGATTTAAAAGACTATATACATTTTTAATTTAAGATTCCAAAATTTAAAAATGTCGCGTAATTTTTTAAATTTCATATGTCAAGTTAAACTATGAATTGGGGGATGGAGGGGATGAATGCAGTCCCAACAGAAATGGTGAAAAACTGAATCACAATTTTGAAATGTGTAGTAATATCAGCAGCATTTCATAATACATGAATGCTAACTGCCCATGAAATTCAGGAAACAAACTGTTAAGCTCTTCTCATATAACTATATTAATACTACTCTTTATTTCTCCTTTTCACAATCATCAAATACATAATAGTTGAGATACTTAATCTCCCAGAGATCATAAGGCTTAGTGTTTTAAAATAGTGGAACCTAAAGAACAAACAGATTGGTTATATTTTCACAGATGAAATCAAAGAAATAAAGTTGAAAGCATGGACTTACAATGTATCCATGATGATAAATTCTTGTATCCTCTTTCCATTGGCCGCGTAAGCGTTAATCAGTAGTGCAAGAACATCTTCATGTAAGTAGAGAGATTTTCATTAATAAGTTGAGCATGATTGTAGAAATATATAAGTGATGGAGATTACCGAATTCAGCGTCCTTGGTTTGCTGGTCGAAAGCATCCAAAGGTGTGATAGCCAGTCGAGTAGGAGGGAGCAGTGGATTTTCTGAGAATGGTATTTTTATCGATTGTCCAAGTGAATATGTTGGCATATCCATAAGTTGAGTCTTTAACGTGTGCTACTGACACCAGGTACGTCTGAAAGGGCTTAAAATGTCTTGCAAACTGAGTTATTTCAGCACATAACAAATTTCACATTATCAATGTTATAATTTACCAAACACATACATAACCCCTTTAAATTGCTTCAAAAATTCATTTTGGCACTTCAACTCAGTCTTGTTTCATTTGAACTCTTCAATTTTATTTTTTATATACCATTTAACACATTTTTTTAACCTAGTATAAGTGTTCAACGTGTGTTAGACAAGCATTACAACAACAATATCAACAACAAAATCAGTGTTATCTGTAGGATATGGGAGGGTAGAGTATACACAGATCGTATCACTACCTTGTGGAGGTAGAGAGATTATTTTTGAAAGACCCTCGACTCAAGTGTAGCAAATTCAAGTAAAAAGCGTGATAAGTGCAAAGGAAAAAATTAATTGGGTTGAAGAAAAAAATAGGAAAATATTTTTTTTGTTATTATTATTATTTAAATATATGAAAATACTGTATAATTTTTCTAAAAATAAATCGATAGCATAATTTTGTTGTCCATTCATTGCAATGGATACTAATTAATTTGGAGAATATTTGTGCAATGACTAATTTTGGAATTAATATCATTAATTATATTTGAATAATATTCATCATTTAAATCTTAGATTTAGATAATCATATTACATATCATGTTTGACTAAATAACCATTTCTTCTGCACTATATATATAAGTTATTTCAGAAATATAATGAAAAGCATAGATGGCGTTGATATTTACAACTACATGCTTCATTATTTTAGTTTGGACCACCATTGCCATTTGCTCAGTTGAAGGTTATGGGTCTAGTCGAAATGCAGA